TGGGGTTGAAGCCGGGGGTGGTGATGGTGCATGCAAATTATGTGGTGGGGAAGCGGAAGAAGATCGAGCGGTTGATTGAGGCTGGCGTGTGGCTGCTGCCACCGCCGGCACCAGAGGGAGAGGAGGAGGGCAAGGGAGAGGGGAGCAGTGGCGGCAGCGGCGGTGGTGGTGCTGATGGTGACGATGCTGCTGCTGCTGCTGCTGCTGCTGCTGCTGCTGCTCCTGCTGCTGCTGGTGGGGAAGGCAAGGAGGAGGGGCAGAGAGGCGAGGAAGGGGAGGAGGAGATGGAGAGGAGGTTGATGGGAGTGGCGGAGTGGGTGCCGTCACATGTGGATGCGGTTTTGAGGGTGGCGCCTGGTGTGGCCCGGGATGGGCCGCTCATTCTCACCGTGCTCTGTCATGGTATGGCCATAATGAGTGGGTGGGTGGTTGGATGGGGGGGTGGGTGGGTGGGTCGTCCAACATTTGAAGTGCATGAGGCGGCTGAAAGCACAGCACACATGTAGATGTGGCATGCAAACTCGCTGTGGTAATTGTATTGTAGCGACCTGTGGGTGGCACAACACGTAGCTCCAAGCTCCATGCTCCATGCTCCAAGCTCCATGCTCCAAGCTCCATGCTCCATGCTCCATGCTCCATGCTCCATGCTCCATGCTCCATGCTCCATGCTCCATGCTCCATGCTCCAAGCTCCATGCTCCATGCTCCAAGCTCCATGCTCCATGCTCCAAGCTCCATGCTCCAAGCTCCATGCTCCATGCTCCATGCTCCATGCTCCATGCTCCATGCTCCATGCTCCATGCTCCATGCTCCATGCTCCATGCTCCATGCTCCAAGCTCCATGCTCCATGCTCCATGCTCCATGCTCCATGGTTGCTCCCAACTTCCGAGCTGCCTGCATCTGCGTGCATCAGATTTCACCTTTTTCTGTTTTTTGTTTTTTTTGGGAATTTCAAAAAACACACGTGTAGGCTCATGCTGCCCCAAGCTGCCTCACAACATCACTCTCATCTCATGTCATCACCTTTTCCTTTTCTTCTTACCTCTTTCCTTCCCATGACGACACATGCCTGCGATTCGATTGCTCCTTGTGGCATGACGTGGCATGGCATGGCGTGGCGTGGCATGGCATGGGCACAGCAAGCGAGTCGGATCTGTTCAGGAGCTGGCTGGGGGCCATTTCAAAGCTCGGCCTCTCAACCAACTTCCTTGCCTCTGTTGCCAGCCAGGTGAGCTTCTGTTGCCAGCCAGGTGTGCTTCTGTTGCCAGCCAGGTGAGCTTCTGTTGCCAGCCAGGTGTGCTTCTGTTGCCAGCCAGGTGAGCTTCTGTTGCCAGCCATGTGTGCTTCTGTTGCCAGCCAGGTCAGCTTCTGTTGCCAGCCAGGTGTGCTTCTGTTGCCAGCCAGGTGAGCTTCTGTTGCCAGCCAGGTGTGCTTCTGTTGCCAGCCAGGTGTGCTTCTGTTGCCAGCCAGGTGTGCTTCTGTTGCCAGCCAGGTGTGCTTCTGTTGCCAGCCAGCCAGGTGTGCTTCTGTTGCCAGCCAGGTGTGCTTCTCTTGCCAGTCAGGTGTGATCCTGATCAAACCCTCATAGCCATGCCTCAATCCCTCACCATACCCAGGCATGCTCAAGAACCTGGACTCCCCTTCCTTCTTCCTTGTTTTTTTTTGTGCCATGCGCACTTCATGATTGAGAATTCTCAGAATTGACCCCTGTATATCTGCTCTTCCACCCACGCTACTGTCCGTTCCCCATTGCACACCTCATGCGCTTTCTCCCCCCTACCCTCCCACTGTGTGACCCATAAAGAAGCATCGTTTCTGGTCCCTCCCTGCACCATCCTTAACCCGCCTTGCCTCACTGCCCCCTCCCTGCATCAATTGACGCCTCCCTGCATCCCTCCCAGCTGTCCCCCTCTCAACAACCCGTTAAGATAGGTAGCAACTACACCTCCTGTTCCAGCCTATGTATGCTGTATAGAAATGTTACAGCATTCCCTGCTCGCCCCACCCCCCTGCACCTGTCCTTCAGGTGCCATTACCTGCTAACGTCCCTGCCAGCCATGTCATTCGCCAGCCTGCCTCTGCTGCTCCTACTGGCGGCAGTGGGAGTGAGGAGAAGGCAGGGGAGAAGGCAGAGGAGAGGGACAGGCTAGCGTGTCTGCTCATGCCGGCGCTGCTGGCCTCGCGCCTCCTCGCTGCCAACATCACGGTGCTGTTCAGGTGGGTGTGGTGCGGTGGAGGGTGGGTGTGGTGCCGCCTGCTTCTACTGGGAGCACTGGGAGCAAGGAGAAAGCAGGGGAGAAGGCAGAGGGGAGGGACAGGCTAGCATGTCCTACGTTGGGAAATACGAGTATCGAGTACTATACGCTAGCGTATTATACGCTTCGTATATACGCGGTACGCCATGGCTGGCGTACTGCTGATACGCAAAAATACTCTGGTTGGGCAGGTAAAACTTTTTCCCGGGCAGGTTCCACCCTCGAAATGTAGGGAGTAGGGGTCGCCATGGCGAGGAAGTACTAAAGCTAGGAGAGTTCGAGCTCGACAAGAGTTGGACGAAATGCAAGAACAGACATGCGGGATTGAATGAAAGACGAGCTGTATAGGGATTGAGGAGATGTTCGAACGAGTGAAAGGGGGGAGGTTGGGTTTAGGAGGTTGAGAGGGGTGACGTGAGGTTGGGGATGTGGGAGGGGTTGGATTTTGAATTTAGAATTGCAGACAGGGGTTGGGTGCTGTGCGAGGTCGAGGGTTCAATTCTCGCCGTCGCAGATTCTCGCATTTTTTTTTTTTTTTTTTTTTATGGGCTGCCCCAAGGGCGTATTTTCCAACGCAATTACTCATGCCGGCGCTGCTGGCCTCGCACCTCCTCGCTGTCAACATCACGGTGCTGTTCAGGTGGGTGTGGTGCGGTTGAGGCAGGTGTGGTGCGGTGAAGGTGGATGTGCGGGCTAAGTGAGTGTGCCCGTCTCCCCTGCGCTCTTCATTGGCACAGCCAAAGCTTCAGTTATCATGCATGTTTCTAACCAGTCCTTTGGCAACCGCATTGGCTGCTTCAGCCTGCAACGGTCCACGTGACAGCGGATACCATCGGGCGAATACGAGACTTTTCCTTGAGTCTCTTCTTGACCATCGGGTCTTTGCTCATAGTGGAAGAGCAGTAATTCTTAAGATTGGAAAACGCTTAAAGCAACAAATGGATCGAAACTAAAATTTCTTCCTGGAAAAACAATCAGTAAAACTCGAAAAACCCTTCCGCTCAAGTGAATTCCACGTGACAGCGAATACCACTTCTTCGAGTCTCTTCTTGATCACCGTCTCTTGCTCTTTACGTTCCACTTGCGTTCTGCTCATCCTTCATTATTTCCACCCAAAAAAGGAAGAATATAAAAGAAAATAAAAACAGCAACAACATTTTGGTATTTACATTTTTTTTTTCCCACTTCACCCTTCCCCTCTCTCTTTTGACCCATTGAAATCTCTCACTTCCCACCACCGCCCACATCAGTGACCCCTCAACTGCATGGCTTCGCAACCCCCTGCCTTTCCTCCCAGCCACTTTCTCCGTCCTCCTCCCCTCCACCTCCCACTCCTCCACACCCCCCACTCTCAACACCACCACTCCCACTCCTCTCAACCGATCCCACCTTGGCTCTCTCTCTCCCTGGCTGTTGCTGCTCCGCTCCTCCTCTCCTTCCTCCTCCGCTCAACCCCCCCCCTCTACTTCCTCCCCCTCCACGCACTCCCTCGCCCTCTCCTGGGGGTTACAAGCATTCAAGACTCTGTCCAAAGAGCCATCTCTTTCAGACAAGGCGGAGGGGAACGGTGAGAGCACACCCCTCACGTTGTCTGTTGTTGTGCAAAGTGCTCTTAACCATGCTGTAGCACGTGTACTGGAAGGTGAAGGGGCAGGTGAAGGGGCAGGTGATGGGGCAGGTGGTGAAGGAATCGCGATCGGGGTTTTGCCTGCGTTTTTGTTTCCACCAAGTGCGGTGGTGTGTGAGGAGAGGCAGTGGGTGCAGCAGCATAGGGGGGAGGTGGTTGCGTTTCACAACAGCTGTGGGGCGAGCAGGGAGAGCAAGGCGTCAGTGCTGAAGGAGCTGCAGCTGTGGGTGGATGGTTGATGCACGTGTGCTGACGAGTTAGCATGTGTCTTTACTGTGAGGAGAGGCAGTGGGAGAAGCAGCAGCACAGAGTCGAGCTAACAACAGCCGTGGCGCCAGCAGGGGGAGCAGGGTATCGACCGCCGCTTAAGGAGCTGCAGTTATGGGTGGAAGGGTGGTGCAAGTGTGCTGGCGGGTTAGCATTGTTGTCTACCCGCATCTATACCGTATGAGGAGAGGCAGTGCGTGCAGCAGCGCATAGGGGCGAGCTAGTGGCGTTTGACAACAGGTTTGGCGTTTGCATGGAGAGCAAGGTGTCAACTCTGAAGGAGCTGCAGCTGTGGGTGGATGGGTGATGCAAAGATGCTGACGGGTTAGTGCATCTCTTTAATATGAGGAGGGGCAGTGGGTGCAGCAGTACAGAGTCGACGTGGCCCAAGCAGGGAGAGCAAGGTGTCAGTGCTGGAGCTGCAGTTGTGGATGGATGGGTGATGCACGCACGCTGGTGTGTGTGGGGAGTGGCAGTGTTGAGTTGTTATGCTCGCCAAATTTCTCAAGTGGCGAGCGTGGCGGCACCCGGCAAGTGCAAGTGGGTGGGGCCATTTGCGCCGTTGCCCGCGTTCACATGGATTTTACTGGTAAACAAACTATACAACTCGGATCACATAACCGTATAAGGCTTTGTACATGCATAGCATACTGTACAAGCCACATTTAAGGCGTGGCGGTACAACAAATCAATAAAGGCAATCATGGCTGGAAAGGTGCTCTCATGTCGGCCTGACTCTGTGTCTACCACCCATCCATGAGCCCAGTACAAACTGTTGCAAGCAACACATGCAAGTCACTGTACAAGGTACACTCCATAATGTGGCATGGCATACCTAATAACAGCTCAACTCAATAAGGCAACGGCTGGAACGGTGCTCTCATATCGGCTTGGCCCTGTGCCAGCCACCCATCCATGAGCCCGGCACATACCACCGTAGGCAGCACATGGGGCACACTCACACCATAGTCACCACCCAAAAGCTCCGCTTCTTTTCTCACCACCTCCTGTGCTTCCTCCGCCCTCCTTGCGTCTTCCACTGCTGCCTCTGCCACGGCCCACCCTCCCAGCATCTCATCCAGCCTTGGCCCCTCCCCCCCTCCTCTTGTCGCTCCAGGGCTGTTAAGGGCACCAAAGCCCTGCAGTGGCAACAGGAAGCAGGGAGGGGGGGCGGGAAAAAGATGGGGAGCGGCATGAATTGACTAGAAGGCAAAGAAGAGCTTCTCAGATGTAACTCGCAGGAGTGGAATAAGGGAGAGGGAATGAACAGTGAAACTTGCACTGAAACTTGAGACCTGTAAAGCGGCTGAGTGTGAAGAACCACCACTCCAAAGGCCAAGCTCCAGACACCACTAAGGCTGTTTTGAGACACACCAAAACAGACTCGTTTCCACCTCCCCTCCCGCACAGCGGGGCTAGAGTGACTCATCCGCAGCTCCAGAGGCCAAGCCACCGAATACTACCCGTGTTCTGAGACGCGTCACAACCATCACAACCGACTAGACTTATTACCACCTCCCGTCCTGCACAGGACGCACTGACTCACCTGCAGCTCTAAAGGCCATGCTCCCTGCATGCCCGACTGCTCGTGTGTGTGTGCACCGTCACCCCCCACAGAAGCCAAGGTGTTGCCGGGGATGAGGGAGGGCACGGATGCGAGGTAGCTGGTGAGTACACGGGGGTGAAAGAGAGGAGAGACTTGAGGGTTGAAGAATGGGAGAGCTCTCAGAGGCGACTTAACAGTCACGTCGTGTCCACCCCTCACTGCCCCCAGGATACCTCGCCCCTCGCTCCTCGTGTTGCCGAGGATGAAATGGATGCGAGGAAGCTGGTGGGTGCCGGGGGTTGAGAGAAGGGAGAGCAAAAACGGCGTGGGGGAGAGGTGTTGAGGGGTGAAGAGAAGTTGATGAGGGTTGCAGGAAGGTTGATGAGGGTGTATCCAGGACATGGCCTGGCCATAGGTCATGGCTGTAGATGGCATGGGATGGATTGGCAATGCATGGAGTGGCATGGCATGGTGTGGCATGGCATGGTGTGGCATGGCATGGTGTGGCATGGCATGGTGTGGCATGGCATGGTGTGGCATAGCTTGGTGTGGCATGGCATGGTGTGGCATGGCATGGTGTGGCATGGCATGGTGTGGCATAGCTTGGTGTGGCATGGCATGGTGTGGCATGGCATGGTGTGGCATGGCATGGTGTGGCATGGCATGGTGTGGCATGGCATGGTGTGGCATGGCATGGTGTGGCATGGCATGGTGTGGCATGGCAAGGGGGCGTCACCTCTGGTAGAAGTGCCATGAAGAGCCGTCCATGCATGCATGCGCCAGGTGCAACGCACTCGCCTCCCCTCCATCTCTCCGCAATGCCGGATACACAGCCCTCACTAATCCCACACTGCTGCTACCAGCACCAAAAGCAGCTGGACCAGTAGAACCCGCAGCAGCAGCAACGGCAGCACTGTGTGGAGTATCTGGCGTGATCTCGTGCAGAAACACATACCCACACTCCTTCAACTCCCCAGCCCATTCCCTCGGATCAACCACCTCCGCACCTCTTCCCCTCCCCAATCCCTTCCCACCACCACGCACCTCTCCACCTCCCCTCACACCTCTCCAATCCTGCACACCCCTGTCGCCGCCCTCCTTCCTCAAACCACCACCCTGACTGCCACTCCCCCTGCTGTTTTCAGGGTAGACTCGCACGGCTGTACCCCCCCCTGCTGCTGCAGCGCCTGCCCCCAGCAGGCGGTCAAAGGAGGTGAGCTTGAGCGAGGCAGGTGGGGGAGAGGGGCGGGAGGAGGGAGCGTGAGAAGCGGGAGGAGGGGGAGAGGGCGGTGGAGGAGGGGAGGGCAGCCACAGGGGTCTGAGTGGAAGGAAGGGAGGAAGAAAAGGGAGAAAACAAGTTAGACGCCTAAGAGATCGCATAAAAAATCGTTTATAACCAGAGGGTACTCGCACACAGCTGTTCCCCCCCCTGCTTCAAGCAGTCGGTCAAATTTTGAAGCGCCACCAAAGGAGGTAAGCTTGAGTGGGGTGGGAGGGGGAGAGGGGCGGGAGGAGGAGAGCAGGAGGAGAGGGAGAGGGAGGGGGAGGAGAGGAGGGCAGCCACAGGGGTCTGCACAGGGGAAGAGGGAGGAAGAAGAGGGAGGGAGGGAGGGAGCAAGAGGGGACGATCTTTTAGGTGACACAAAAATCGCCTGTAAGCAGTGGGGTTCGAGTGTGGGGGGAGGGAGGAGGACTTTTGAGACGTCTTATTAGGAGGGAGGAAGGGAAGTGCGAGGGGCTGAGTTCGGGGGGGGGGCATGGGAGGGGTGAGGGGCAAGATAAGGGTGAGGTGCATTTGGAAATTACGGGGGGATTTTTAGTCAACTCAATAGTTAAGGGAACAAGTAAATCACTCGTGGTGGCGGACAAGAGAGAGGTCCATGGGATGGGGGGGGGCATCTGACAGATGAGGCATGGGAGGGGTGAGGGAGCAAGTTTGTATGAGGTGATAGAAAAAACATGGGCAGATGGAACGGAAGTCACACATTGGGGGGGAAGGAGCGACAGGTCCATGCGGGGGGCGTCGGACACATCAGGGAGGGATGCAAGGCTGGACGAGAGGGAAGCACATTGGGTGGGCAGCCAGCCTGCCACAGGGAACACGTCACTCACACGTGGGAGGGGAGGAGTGCGAGGTCCATGGGAGGAGGTGGGGCATCGGACACATCGGGGAGCGATGCGAGGCTGGGCGAGAAGGAAGCAGACGGCATGGCTGCTGCTCCCATCATTCCACCCCCCTCCACTCCCCTCCCTCCACTCAACCCCAGCTGCCCCTGTTCCGCCCCCACCTCCCCCGCCTGAGCGCCCCTCCCTGTGGCTCCATGCAGGTGCTGGTCCGACCCCACTTCCCACATGGCTGCCTGCCCTGCCCAAGGCTGGAAGTGACCCAGAAAGCTGGCAGCTCGTAAGAAGAGACAGAGAAAGTGGAGGGGAAAGAGCAGCATAAGATGAGAGTGCTGTGCCAAGATTCAACTAAACCAATGACTACACAACTCACAGGTTGATAGCGTCTTGCTTCTCAGCGTCTGTGATGGCATTGCTGTAGTACCGATGCAGCGACTTGAGCACCTCCTGAGACTGCAGCGTAGACCGCCACGTGCCGGGCCGCTCAGCAATCACCAGGTTGTGCGCCGCCGACCCCCCATACTGCAGTGCCAGGGCGTCCCCCATCGCGATGTACATCCCCTGCAGCCGCCTCCCCACGTCGCTCTTGCTGTCCAGGTGCGGCGAATCTGTGATTCCCAAGGAGTAGAGCTGGTGGGCAAGGGCCTCTCGACCGAACACGAACTGGGCCACGTTGGTGCGGTCCAGGCAGTCCAGACAGTTGGTTCGGACTATTCCTTGCTGCAGCTGTGGGGGACGCACCCATCTCCCTGCCTCCTCCTCCTGCGCTGCTGCTGCTGCTGCAGCTGCTCCTCCCTTGCTGCTTGGTCTGATTCCGCCCCCCTCCTCCGGTCTGGTTGTGCTGGGTACAGCAGCAGCGGCGGCAGCAGCGGGAGGGGCGGCGGGGCGGGACGAGAAGCACGTCTTGGTGGCAGCCCTGGGGAGATTGCATGCATTGGGGAGACAGGGGAGGGGGAGGCGCAGAGGAGATGGGAGGCAGAGGAGAGGCAATGGGAGGAAATGGGACAGAGGGAGGGGCGGTGGGGCGGAAAGAGAAGCAAGTCTTGGTGGCAGCCCTGGCGATGTGGAGACAAGGCAGGTGATCGGGCATAGAGGAGATGGGGGCACATGGGATGAGGAACAGAGGACAGGGGGCATGGAAGAGATGGGGAACAGAGGAGAGGAGGAAACAAAGGGCATGCAGGTGAGAAGCAAAGCATGCTCTGTGACCAACTGTGGTGCGGGCCAGAAGAGGGGGGAAGAGGAAGTCAACGAGCTGTAGAGGTTGGAGGAGAGGAGAAATCAACAGGATTGAATCTCAAGTTTGCATGTGACACTTGCAAGTTGCAGCAAAGGAAATGATCATCTGCTGCTCACAAGTAGAGATTTCCAGTCCAGCTCCGTTCTGTGCTGGAAAAACAAGGTGAATTTTTTCAGGTGAAAACAACAGAGGGCGCACCTGGCGAGCTGGCCGGAGTAAAAGAAGCCAGTCTTGGCAAGGCACTCTCTAGCGATCGCTGCCAGCGCACCCAACACCCCCTCCGCCACACTGCCCTTGCTCCCACTGCTGCTGCCATTTTCCGCACTGGCGCTGGTGCTATTGCCGCTGCCACTGCTTGCTTGGACGTTGGTGCCGCTGGTGTTGGTGGTGCGAGGAGAGAGCGAAGGAGGTGAGAGCGAGAAGGAGGAAGCAGAAGGGGAGGACGGGGGGATGAGGGAGGAGGAGGAGGGGATGAGGGAGGAGGAGGGGAAGGAGGAGAAGGGACTGGGATGACTGGTAAGGGTGTGGAGTGTGGTGGGTGTGTTGGGAATGGTGGGTACGTTGGGAGTGGTGGTGAGAGTGCTGAGTGCGCTTGCTGCAGCACTGGTGACCCCTGCTGGAGTGGTGCCTGCGTTTGCACTGCAGCAGAAGGGGAAAGAGGAGTGTATGGGCGGCGAGGGGAAACAAGGGGCCATATTAAGGTCGAAACTTGTACTTTATTGCTGAAACGCAGGTGCTTGTCGCGTTGCAGCACTGGTTACCCCTGCTGGAGTGGTGGCCGCGTTTGCACTGATGTATGTGAAGTGAGGGGGAACGAGGGGACATATCAGAGGTCAAGATCAAAATGGGTACAGCATTACTGGTGAACTGGGTTACCGTCTCGCTGCGGCGCTAGCGACCCCTGCTAGAGTGGTGGCTGCGTTTGCACTGATGTGTGGGAAACTATGGGGGGAGGGGGCGAGAAAAACAAGTTCTGCATCAATAAGAACTGGGTTAATATGTGCTGCAGCACTGGTGACCCCAGCTGTAGTGATACTTGCATCCGCACTGATGTGTGGGAGACGCATGTACACCACACTGTTCACGTCTTGCCGTACCTGGAGAAGTCCAGTGGATCTAGGTGAGGGAAGAGTTGTGGACAGCACGCGGTTGACACATACGCGACTGCCGTGCGATATGCGCACGACTGTTCACCTCTTGGCATAGAGAGACAAGTCCCACATTTCTTTCAGATATTAAAACCCGCAGACCAAGAAAGCCCAAATTGGTTCAACCTTCCGAACTTCGGTTGACTGTGATGTGACTCTGGCACCCAAAATGTTGGTCAATTGCATTTCTCGTCCCAACCAACCAACCTTCCTAACGTTGAACTTCCTGGCCCGCCGGTTTTAATGCGCGTTTGTGTTCACCTCTTGGCATAGAGAGAGAAGTTCCAGTGGATGAAGATGAGGGCGGAGTGGGGAGGCAACACGCAGTTGACATATACGCCACTGCCATGCTGTATGCACAGGACTGTTCACCTCTTGGAATGTTGTGGGTGACACTGTTCACCTCTTGGCATGTTGTGGGTTACACTGTTCACCTCTTGGAATGTTGTGGGTGACACTGTTCACCTCTTGGCATGTTGTGGGTAACATTGTTCACCTCTTGGAATGTTGTGGGTAACACTGTTCACCTCTTGGACTGTTGTGGGTAACACTGTTCACCTCTTGGACTGTTGTGGGTAACACTGTTCACCTCTTGGCATAAAGGGAGAAGACTCACCTCTTCTCCAGATGAGTTTTCTCACTCATGCACACAGCGAAAAGGGTCACCTGTTGGCATGTGCACAAGACCACTCACCTCTTGGTGTATCGGGAGAATTCCCAGCGAGTGTAGGTGACATGACATAACATGTCGGGATGTCGGGATAACGTGACATGGCATGTGCACAAGACTGTTCACCCCTTAGCATGCACACAAGACCGCTCACCTCTTGGCGTAGCGGGAGAAGTCCCAGTGGATGTAGGTGAGGGCGGAGGGGCGGGGCAGCACGCGGTTGAGATACGCCACTGCCATCGCGAACTCCCTCCGAAGAATCATCTCACGAGGGTGCTTCTCCACTGTCTGGAAGGGGAGATTGAAACACAGGAGATGGGAGAGGGGAGATGGGAGAGAGGTGCTTTGTTGGAGTTGATGCACGCAATATGTCATGACAGCGAGGGATCACAGTAGCAAGCTGCCGCTTTCAAATCATCTCCCTCAGATGGTTCTCCGCTGTCTGACAGGGAGGGGAGAGGAGGGGAGAGGGGATAGGGGAGAGGAGAGGGGAGAGGGGATGGGAGAGGGGAGAGCAGGCACGGAGGAGAAGTGTAAGGAAGAAGAAGAAGAGCAGGGATGAGGTGGCAAGACAGGTTTGACAAATTCGAGAGGAGCCGCTGCAGTGGTAGAGTGGAGTCCTTGCTCTCACTCAACAACCTGCAGCGCTTCACACACGGCAGCGCTTCACACACGGCAGCGCTTCACACACGGCAGCGCTTCACACACGGCAGCGCTTCACACACGGCAGCGCTTCACACACTGCAGCGCTTCACACACTGCAGCGCTTCACACACTGCAGCGCTTCACACACTGCAGCGCTTCACACCTTGCAAAGCTTTCAGTCTAATCCTTGATGAGGTTGAGGATGATGATGGGGTGGGGCGGCCGTACCGCTCCATGAGGTAAGGAGGGCAGAAGGCACCGTGGCGTCCCGCACTGCACCGCACTGTACCTTGATGAGGTTAAGGATGATGATGGGGCGGCCGTACCGCTCCATGAGGTTCTCAAAGTGCAGCCGCGCTGCCGTGTACATGGGGTCATAGCGATGCACTGCACTCATGGAGGCGCGGGGGGAACAAGCATGGTGCAAGTGTGTGAACCAGTGCGGCCTCCCAAATGCACGTGGATACATGGACCAATATAGCAGGGCAGTGATGTTGTTATAGAGGCGGATTCGATCGCAGCAAACCAACTGAGGTCGCTCGTGCCTAGATCTGAATGGAACCAACCAGATTAAACTAGGAGAGAAAAAAGAAAAGAAGAAAAAAAAACGAGTAGAAGAAAGACTTAGTTAATAGCAGTGCAGTGCACTGAGGTATGGTTGCACGGTGAGGAGGCATATGGCGCAACATTACTCAAGTGCGCACATGGGGGGAGGGTAGCAGTGCACTGCTCACAGTGACATGGTTCCAGAGAGTGAATCGGAACAGTGAGGTGGGATACAATGAGGACACGCCTACACCGCACCACTCACCCACCGCACTGCGCCACTCACCCACCGCACTGCGCCACTCACCCACCGCACAGCACCACTCACACACGATGTCTGGCTTGGGGCTGAGTCTTGATGCCTGCTGCGACCAGAAGAGGGGAATGGATCCCCTCACCTGCACCACACTCGCCATCGCTGGCACCGCTGCTGCTGACGCCGCCCCCACCGCTGCCACCGCCACCGCTGCTGCTGCCGCTGCTGCTGCCGCTGCCGCCACCGCCGTCGCTTCTGCTGGTGAACTTGTAACTGCTGCGTCGCCTGCAGAACCATCCATGAAAACAGGTGTTATCTGGGAAAGGTATTCTCTGGGGCTGATAGGAGGAGGGTGAGTTGTGGAGGAGGGGAGGGATGGGAAGGGCTGGATGAGCAGAAAAGGCGAGGAGGAGGCAGGGGAAGGGGGTGGCGACGTGGCATGTTGCTGCTGCCTATGATGGTAAATGGATTGGTGTTGCTGGGGATGAGAGGTGGGGACGGATGGGTGAGTGGAAACAGGCATAGGCTGACGGTGCAATGCGGTAGGTAGGATGGGTTCACGGTGCAGAGCGGTGGGAGGCGGTAGGATGGGTTCGTGGGAGTGGTCGAGCAGCAGCTGCTCCACCTCCACCTCGTTGGCCACTCGCCCCCGGTCGTTCACCCCCCTCTTGAGATAACGCGTGCCGGCAAAGTGGCGCGAGCGGCGGGCGATTAAGACAAGTGAGATGACCCGCCCGAAGATGGACATGCGCTCCTGCGAGGGAGAGGGGCCAGGGGGGGCACGGAAAGCCGTTGACCCCTCCCTTAAGGTACTTTGTTCCGGTCCGGACAAGTGGCGCAAGTGGCACGAAGAGGGACAAGTGGCGCAAGTGGCACGAAGAGGGACAAGTGGCGCAAGTGGCACGAAGAGGGACAAGTGGCGCAAGTGGCACGAAGAGGGACAAGTGGCGCAAGTGGCACGAAGAGGGACAAGTGGCGCAAGTGGCACGAAGAGGGACAAGTGGCGCAAGTGGCACGAAGAGGGACAAGTGGCGCAAGTGGCACGAAGAGGGACAAGTGGCGCAAGTGGCACGAAGAGGGACAAGTGCCGCAAAGTGGCACGAAGAGAGACAAGCTATTAGCTTCACCAATATGACCACTGAGCACTGAGCAGCAAGGAGCAAGGGGCAAGCAGGGAGAAGCAGCCCACCTGGTGGAAGAAGCCGTGGGAGAGAGTGAGAGTCCAGCGGTTGGTGCCGAGGGCATGGCGGATGGGGCGTGTGAGGAAGGCGTTCCACACAAACATGTGCTCGTGGGCCATGTGGGCCATGTGATCCATATGGGACATGCAGCTGCTGCCACACTCGGTGCACCCGGCGACGGTACGGCAGACGTTGTCTTGTAGCGAGCGCATGACGGGGTAGGAGTGCGAGTAGAAGAAGTCCTTTGTGAGGTCCACCCCTGACAGCAGCCTCTTGTACCTGGTGTGAGGAGAAAAGAGTATTGAGCGTGCTGTGGGTGAGATTGAGGCATGAGAGTGAAATAAGAGAAAATGGGTAGGAGTGGGAGTAGAAGAAGCCTTTCGTGAGGTCTACGCCTGACAGCAGCCTCTTGTACCTGATGTGAGGGGGGGGACATGGGGGCGTTGAGTGTGCTGAGAGTGCTGAAAGTGTTGAGAGTGCTGTGAGGGTGAGGTTGGAGCGTGAAAGATGAAAAGAGGGTAGGAGTGGGAGTAGAAGAAGTCTTTTGTGAGGTCCACGCCTGACAGCAGCCTCTTGTACCTGACGGAGGGAGGGATGAAAAGAGAGGCGAGGACGCCTGAGAGGGGAGTGGAAGACGCCCTTTGTGAGATCCACGCCTGGAGCAGGGCAGAGGGATGAGAGACAAGGGAAGGAGTGCGAGTGGAAAAGACCTTTATGAGGTCCACTCTGACAGCAACCTCTTGTACTTGATGAAAAAAAAAAAAGGGGCGTTGAGGGAAGCAGGGTGGAGGGGGCGGCCTCACAGCCACGTTCATGTGCACAATCACCATTGCTCCTCACCGCTCCTCACCGCTCCTCAGCCCTGCTGACTGCAACTCGCCGCTCATCACGACCGCTGCTCCATGGTGCTGGAGGCTGCAGTGAGTCACCCTACAACGAGAGTGGACTACGGAGGAGAGCACGGGGTTGTGCGGGTGATCGTACGTTCTACTAGTTTCCTTACTACTTGATGTGTTCACAAAGAAATTTGGCAAGAGTTCCACTGAGAAATTGAAAAGAACATTGAAAATAGAGTACAAAATGAGGCAAGCAAGTCGATATGACTAGAATGGCACTGCAACCCCTAGCAAGCATTCTGAAAAGCGAATTGCCAGCGCAGCATCAGAGCGGCTCGCCAACGCTGAAACAGTGTGGCCTGCCAGCATAGCAGAAGGGCGACGTGCCAACGCTGCAGCAAGGCGGCCTGTCAGCGTTGCATTCGCGGGTGAATATCTGTGCACAGGTGCGCACCTACCAAGTAGGTGCAGGTCGACGGTTTCACCGTCAGGCACATTGCGTAAGGGCCACGTAGAGAACGTGTCGACGATTTTGCCAGATGTCCACCGTCGAGCACGTACTGCCGTTCCACAGGTCGACTTTCGCTAAAACCTCATAAGCGAAATTCGCATGCCTTCACAGAGCTTCGCAGTCGCGTCAATTCGACCAGTTCACCAAGACTAGGCTCGCCGAACAGCACCCCTTGATCAGAGAACGAGGCTCGTCGAAACGGACTCCGTTCGTCAGAGTTCGCGCGACTCACTAGCCGATTAGAGGGCGAGCTCGTCGAACATCACCCAGTCGACTGGAGCTCGTCGATATGCTAGCCGATTAGATGACAGCCTCCTCGGAAACCACCCATCGTTTCAGAGAACGCGGTGGTCGACTAAACCTGAGAACCCATTCGACAGCCGCTTTCGTCGAATTCACCATGGCGTTGCAGAGAATGCCTGCGCCCAAGCGAGTGCAGGGCCTTTCAATTCGACAGAGGCCACATGTGTGTGCACGGTCGCATGAGGCACGGTGAGCACCAGACCACCAGACTCTCCTCTATGCGGAACACCACATGCTAAGGTAAGGGTCACACATCTGCTCTGCACCCCTCCCTCACTAGTCCTCACGACTGCTCACCACGCCGCGTCTCTCCTCACCACACCACACCGCATCTCACCGTTTCTCACCGCTGCTCTGTTTGTGGTGCTCGTGTGCACGCTGGTGTGCGGCACGGTGAGCACCAGTCTTTCCTTTATGCGAAAAAACGCATGCTGGGGGGCGACGTTCACACCTCTGCACCCCTCCCTCACCGCTCCTCGCCACTTCTCACCAATCGTCACCGCACCTCGCCGTGCCTCACCGCTCACCACCGCTGCTCACCGCTGCTCCATGGTGCTGGAAGCCACGCTCGTGTGCACGCTGGCGTGGGGCACGGTGAGCACGAGACTCTCTTCGATGCGGAACACTGCATGCCCCCTCATGCACCCCACCTGCCGCCGGCGCCGCACCAGAATGAGGTACCAGGGCTCTAGGAAGCGCACACACCCTGCCGATGGGGGAGGGGAGAACAAAGACAGACAAGGCAGAGAGTAAGGCAGAGAAGGGAACAAGCAAGGCCGAGAGTATTTTTGAGGCGCTTCAAAATGAGGCGCCTCAAAAATAAGGCGGAGAGAGGAATAGGCAAGGCAGAGAGTAAGGGAGAGAGAGGAACAGGCAAGGCAGAGAATAAGGGAGAGAGAGGAACAGGCAAGGCAGAGAGTAAGGGAGAGAGAGGAACAGGCAAGGCAGAGAGTAAGGGAGAGAGAGGAACAGGCAAGGCAGAGAGTAAGGGAGAGAGAGGAACGGGCAAGCAAAGTGTGGAAAAGGCAAGGCTGAGAGTAAGGCAGAGAGAGGGTTGCTTTTGAGAATTCCTGGAAGATGGCCGTGGGGTGGGCATGGTAATGAGTGACTAAGAGCTAGAGAAGAGTGCTTGGAGGAGCGAGGGAGAAGGGAGGAGACCAGAGGGGCCACACTAGAGTGAGGGACTGACAAATTGGCACTCACCAGTCACGCACGCCCAAAGCAAGTACCCGCGGTTCTTGAAAAGCCATTTATTGGACATAGACTCATCAGCAGTCCCATCCCATACTGCTTAAAAGCCTATTCACCAACTCACCAACGATGCCATAGGCCTCGGTGACAAGGCGAAGGCCCCCCAGCTGCAATTGTTAGGCAACTCATCAGAACCAATCCATAAGCAGTCCCATACCCTCTATAAGCCTCCTCGCCAATTCACCGACGCACAGACTCACCAACGATGCCTTAGGCATTGGCAACGAGGCGAAGGCCCCCGGAGCTGCGATTGTTTCAAGTCAGACTCAATACACACACCCATCAGCAGTTCCATACCCCATATAAGCCTCCTCACCGACTCACCAACTCACCAACGATGCCATTGGCCTTGGTGACAAGGCGAAGCCCCCTGAGCTGCGACTGATTCGACTCGACTCAATACGCATCAGCAGTTCCATACCTTATAAGCCTCCTCACCGACTCACCGACGATGCCATAGGCCTTGGTGACCAAGCGAAGCCCCCCGGAGCTGCGATTGCCCTCTGCGAGTTGCTGCAGCAGAGCAGAGCACTGTCGAGCGGTGTACACCGTCGGATCCTCCACCAGCACCAGCTCCGACGGCTCAGATCGGTCAATCTTGAGGATGCGCTTCTGATCCTTGTTCTTGCCCCGACCCACTATGTAGAAACGCTGTGGAAGGTGGGAAGGGGGAGGAAATGGAAAAGGGGGGGAACAGGGATGGAGAAAGGTATGTATTGAGTCGACGCAAAACGCTTCTGATACTTGTTCTTGCCTCTACCCATTATTATGTAGACGCGCCGTGGAAGGTGGGAAGGGGGGAAGTTAACGGAAACCGGAGGCGGGAGGAATGGAAAAGGTACGATTTGAGTCGACGCAAAACGCGTCTGATCATTGTTCTTGCCCCTACCCAGTACGTAAAAGCGCTGAAGGGTGGGGAGGAGGGAGAAATGGAAAAGGACGGGGGAGGGATGGAAAGGGTATGTCTTGAATGGATGCAAAACGTCTCTGATCATTGTTCTGGATGGTTTGTACAAGCACTGAAAGGGAGGGGAGGCGGAAAGGAAATGGAGGAGAGGAAAATGGGGAGGGGGCGGGGGAGGGAGAGGGAATGAGCAAGAGGGGGAGGGGGAGGGGGTTGAAGTGGTTGTGTGTGCGCACACCATGCCGCGCAGATCATGCCGCGCACTACACAGCGCGCCGCCTTCCAGCGCACGCAGCGCAGCGAGGCTCGCCGCAACGGGCGGCACGCACCGCTTGGGTCTCGTAGACGAGAAACTTCTCCAGACACGCGTCGCTCTCCATCGCGTCAGCCGCGCCGCCCGCCACTCGCCGCTCACGCCGCTAGCCACTGGCCCCTCGCCACCCGCCGCGTCAGCCGTGCCCCGCGTCACCGCGCCACTCGCCACTCGCGCCGCTCGCCACAGTCCCCTCGCCACCCGCAACGTCAGCCGCGCCGCTCGCAACTCGCCGCCGCTCGCCGCTCGCCGCCCGCCGCTCGCCGCTCGTTCACTCGCGCCACTCACGCGGGGCGGCGCTCGTTCACATGCGCCACTCACGGGGGGGCGACGCTCTCTAAGGACGCGGCACCTGTTTGGCATTTGCCAGGATCGATCGTGGGAGGGGATCGATGTGCCACTTGTACAGTGAATTGGCGACGTCGTCAATGCCTGGTATCCGTCTTTCGCAAGACGTCGAAAATGTACAGTAAACTGGTACCCTGGTACCTACAGCTCGCACGGTCGATGTGCTGTGGTGCACACATCGACCGTGCGTTTGGGTTGGCGGGAGAGCACATCGCGCCACAGGTGACAGCCGCGATCGATCGGCGTCGTCCACGGTCGCAGGCCAAAAAATTTCGAGTCGTTGCGAATGAAATTGCTGGGCGACTAGCTACGCTCTGCCCTGATTGGCTGCGCGTTGCAGTGTGTTGGTGTATTCCGACGCAGCTCCAACCTGCCCGACCCTGCAATTTCAATCCTGGCACCTATAGCTCGATGTGTCTACCCCACTGCAAATTTGCTGTGTGGGCACATCGGTGTGCCGATCGATGTGCCACGATCGATGTGAGGCCCTGAACCCTCCCCGATCCTGACAAAATGAAAACATGTACCGCGTCCTAACAATGTGTAATCCAGTGGTGTCTAGGAATTCGGTTTAATGGTGTATAGGTATTTGGTGTAATTTAGTGGTTGTTACGGGTGCAATGAATCTAGGTAGCGAGAATTGCGCTAAGGTGTCAAACGAGTACAAAATGTGAGCGAAGGCATGAGCGAACATTTATACGCGAAACATGCAAAACGGTAACGCGGTGCGTGCGAGCTTGCTAGTGCTACGCTGGAGCGAGGCTCGGGCTAGCCCCGAAGCGTAGGCCGATACGGCCATGCCAGCAGTGCGAGGTTTGGCAAAACAGTGCGCGCGAAGTCGGCGAAGTTCCGTTAGCAGTAACGGGCGAACAATCGGCTGTTGCTGTACGCGATGTAGTCGGCCCCGTAAGGAATGCCGAGAAAATTCCTTACACTACCCCCCCCCCCTTAAGAAGCCCCCTCCGCTACGCGAGTGCGTGTATATCGCGGAATCCCCGGCTCCTCAGGTACACTTGCAGGGCAGGGTGATTTTCGATGTTGCTCAGGGGCACCCAGCTATCTTCAGTTGGCGTGCGGTCTTTCCAGCGAACGAGGAATTCAATCCTCCTGATTCCCGTGGGGTGGCGGATCCGATGGCTCAGAATTTTGTCGGGCTCGATGATCGGCTCTGATGCAGGGCGAGTCATTGATTGTGGCCGGTGACGCGGCAGTTGACTTGTGGTCGGGATGTATGGGCGAAGTAGGCTGACGTGGAACGACGGGCTGATGTACCAGTCGGTTGGCAATAGTAGGTGCGCGGTGACGGGTGTGATCATGTGACTGATTTGGAATGGTCCACAGTAGCGCGGTCGTAATTTTGGTACGTCAGGCAGTCGCAGATTTTGCGTGTCAAGCAGCACGTAATCTCCAGATTGGTACGTGACAGGACGGCGGTGGCGATCAGCGTTGCGCTTAGCGATGACGTTGGCCTTTTTTATTGCTTCGGCGGCTCTGGCGCGGGCAGCTTGCAGGATTTCGGCGAATTGTTGTGCACGTGGCGTTGGGTTGTCCGGACTCGGCGTCATGGGTACTGTGGGGTTTTGCCCATAGTTCAGGTAGAACGGGGACTGCTGCGTCGTGGCTGATGTGGCGTTGTTGTACGCGAACTCGATCAGCGGCAGCTGCTGCTCCCAGGTCGTGGGGTCGACACACGTGGCACGAATCAACTGCTCCATCGTCTGATTCGTCCGTTCCGTTTGGCCGTCGGTCTCGGGGTGGTACGACGAACTGAACTGTAGCCTGGTCCCGAACTGCTCCCAGAGGTTCTTCCAGAAGTTGCTGGTAAACTTCGTGTCCCTATCGCTGATAATTGCTGCTGGTATCCCGTGCAGGCGAACAACGGCTGCGATGAACAGGCGAGCGGTCTCCTCGGCCGAGATCGACTTTTTGCACGCAGCGAAGTGTGCCATCTTCGTCAGCCTATCCACGACGACCATCACCGCGTCGTTACCCCCAGGGTTCGAAGGTAACCCTGTGACGAAGTCCATGGTTACTTGCTACCAGGCGCGTTCGGGCGGTGGTATCGGCTGCAATTGACCCGCCTTCCGCTTCCTTGCACTCTTTATCACCTGACACGTAGGGCACGAGCCCACGTGCTGCTGTACGTCGGTCAACAGCTCCGGCCAGTAATAGTACCGCTGCAGTTGCTGTCGTGTTTTTTCTACCCCGAAATGTCCCGAGGTAATCCCGTCGTGTGCCTCCTGCAGCAGCAGCTCCCTCAGTAGTGAGTACGCGGGTACCCAAATGCGGTTGGTGCCTGTTTTTACGTAATAGACTCCTCTTGCTTCTGCCAGTTGCTGTGAATTTCCGGTCGTGAAGAATGGGTCGGTGCGGTATCCGTGGGTGAATAGGCCAGTTAAAAGCGGGTTGGTCTGGGCGAGTAGGATGGCGTGGAGTTGGGCGTTGGGGCGGGTGAGAGCGTCGGCGATGTTGGATGCGCCTTTTTTGTACGTAACGGTGTAGTGAAAGTTGGACTCGAGATAGTCCAACCAGCGAATCTGTCGTGGGTTGAGATTCGGTTGGGCGCGAAGGTACTGTAGCGAGCGGTGGTCTGTCCGTACTGTCACGTCGGCGCCAGTCAGGTAACATCGCCAAACTTTGAACGCGTGCACGATCGCTAGCATCTCGCGGTCGTGTATCGGGTAGTTACGTTCGGGCGGGTGTAGTTTGCGGGACTCGTACGCGATTGGCTGGAGGCCGTTCCCGAAGTCCTGCAACAGTACTGCTCCCACAGCGATGTCACTTGCGTCGGTGACGAGCTCGAACGGACGGTGGGGATCTGCAATGTGAAGGACGGGCGGGGAGCACAAAATACTTTTGAGGGCCGAGAAGGCAGCTTGCTCTTTCTCTCCCCACGTGTACTCAACCCCCTTCCTCAGCAGGTCGGTCAACGGGGCAGTCAGCTTCGCCATGTCGGGGACGAACCGGCGCACGTAGTTGACGAACCCCAGGAAACTCTGCAACTCGGTCAAGTTGGTCGGCGCGTGCCAAGCCTGAATCGTCGCAATTTTCTTCGGGTCTATTTCCACTCCTGCAGCTGAAATAACATGTCCCAAAAACTCCACGCGGTCCTGTAAAAACTCACACTTAGATGCTTTGGTCAGTAGGCGGTTCTCACTCAGGATTTTAAAAACTGCTTCGATGTCTTGTAAGTGCTGTGCTCTGTCAAGGCTGTAAATCAGTATGTCGTCCAGATAAACGATGACGCACTTATCTAAAAGTGGGCGGAATGCTTCGTTCATGGTCATTTGGAAAGTGGCGGGGGCGCTGGTCAGTCCGAATGGCATGACGGTGTATTCGAAGGATCCGTAGCGTGTTCGGAATGCGGTTTTAGGGCAGTCGGGTGGGTTGACGCGGATTTGGTGGTAGCCTCCTCGGAGGTCGATTTTCGAGAAAACCCGGGCTGTGCGCAGTTGGTCGATCAGTTCGTCGGCTCGTGGGATGGGGTAACGGGATTTGATGGTAATCCTGTTCAGTGCCCGGTAATCGATGCACATGCGAAAACCCCCGTCCTTTTTCGGTGTGAACAGTATTGGTGCGGCGAAGGGCGACGAGCTAGGGCGAATGAATTCTTTCTCGAGCAGGTAATCGAGCTGCTTCCTTAGTTCGTCTAGTTCGGGTTGGGTCAGTCTGAAATGTCGCTGTACTGTTGGCTGTGCCCCCGGTTCCAGTTCTATCCTGTGATCGTGCGGTCGCTGAGGTGGCAGTCCCGTCGGTAAGTCATCCGGGAAGATGTCACTGTATCGTGTTAACAGTGCTGCCAGATCACTCGGTACGTCAGTCAGCAGTTTCTGTAAATCCCCTCCCTTGTCTGCTGCCTCGGCTTCCCGAATGTCAACCGCGTACACGTCAGCTCCGGCCGCTACAGCGCGTTTCATCGTGATCACATTGACACGCACCGACGAAGACCCAGGCGAGCCCCAGCGAGGTAAGGCGATGTTGTTACCGTTTACTCGCACGGTGCAGTCACCCGTCGTCCAGTCAATTCGCGGATTGTGTCGTCGCAGCCAATCACGCCCGAGTAAAATGTCGGTTCCGTCGAGGGTCGTTGCGTGCATTTCCTGACTAAACGTGAAGTTACCCCCGCATCGAATCCGAACTCGGTCTACGCGTTCCCGTATTGCCAGCGGCGTGCCGTCTACCAGTCGTGCGTCGATCTCAGGTAAGCATCGGTCCAGTGGCAGTCGCAGTTTTCGTGCTGTAGCAGTGTTAATGAGGCTGTGGCTGGCTCCCCCGTCTACGAAGATTTTAACTAAGTCCGTCCCAATTTTCCCACTGAGCAGTATAGGGCTATCTACCGTGGTACCCTCCTTATTCGGCCGGGTGTGGTCGATTGCGTGAACCGGCACAATCACTCGGTGAGGGCCGGTTGGGTCGGGCGAGCGGCGTGA